TTATTTCAAAACCCCCTTCCCCTCCCCCTTTTCTGATGAAGGGTCTCGGCCCGAAACGTCAGCCTCTCTGCTCCTATGATGCTGCTTGGCCTGCTGTGTTCATCCAGCCCTGCACCTTGTTGTCTCTGATTTCTTCAAGTTTTTTTTAATCTTGCTTCTATATGCGAACCAAAGTGGTAAAGAGGTAACCTCGGTCCACATTGCAACTTCATTCTTCAACTGTCATGAGACTCATTTTCAGAAAACAGGTGCGTAATCGTACTCCAAAACTTTATACTTAATCATTCTCTGCTACCATTATTTTACCTCAATAACTATTTAAACAGAATTCAAGTCCGTGTTTTTACATGAAGGTTTTAAGTCAGTTACATTCCATAAGTCCCCCCACCCAATTACTAGCTCCCTAAATTGAACAACTAGTTCAAACCTAATGCACATGTCATTAATATATTCGTCATCTGAATTGCCACTTCATTAGATCTCAGGCATTCTTCAGGTCATATTAGATAATAGCACTGTTTTGAAATGTAACAATCTTGTTTCTGAAGTGTACGCCATAAAAACCCATTTGATATTCAAGTTGCAAAAACTCTCCTGGTATTTTACCTCTCTTACTTTAACAGCGTGCTGTTCTTTGTGTTATTCCTGCTCAAGGGCCCAGCACCTGCTCCTGATTCAGATTATTGTAGAACAAGGGAACAAGATCTTACTCCTCCCTGAAATGCTGTCCACTACATAGTGTTAAAGATGACATCTCTAACTTAAGCCAGAATCAAAATGCATCAGCTGGCCATTCACTCAAAAACTCTGCTCTATTGCATCAGCCCTACCAGGCCGACACTGCCTTGTGGTAACATGAATTCTGTCAAGTCTATGCATTGTGGAAAAACCTACTGTCTTCCATCAAACTGCTGTGTAGTCCGCCTTTGCTAAGTGTATAGTAAATGATGTTATTGTATTTTTTTTTAACTTGGTCATGTTAAAAATGTCCCTGACTTGCTGTAACAGCCTCTAGCAGCCTCAGCTCGTTATTTACGTTCTGGGTTGGATTGTAAGTTTACTGTTTTCAGATTTTCCATGTACATCGTGGCTAGGATCTATTTAGCAATATATTGATATAGCCCTCTTACACTCGGCTTGTGGTTCCCATTAATAGAATCACCATTGTATAAATTTGGGAATTGGACATTCTTGGGATGTGAGTGTCACTGGCCAGCATTTATTGCCCATTCCTAGCTGTCCTGAGCCAGCCACATCACACTGGATCTGGAGTCATGTGTAGGCCAGACCAGGCAAGGAGGGAAGATTTCCTTTTATTTATTCCTTTATTCATTAATGGTTTGAGGACATCACTAGCTAGGCAGCATTTATTGTCCATCCCTAATTGCCCAGAGGGCAGATCAGAGGTTTGGAGTCACATGTAGGCCAGACCAGGTAAAGATGGCAGTTCACCCCCCACAAAGGACATTAGCGAACCAGATGGCTTTTTCTGACAATCAATTCATGGTCATCATTAGATTCTTAATTCTAGATATTTTGTTGAATTCGGATTCCACCATCTGCCATGGCGGGATTTGAACCTGGGTCCCCAGAATGTTATCTGGGTCTCTGGATTAACAGTCCAACGATAATACGACTGGGCCATTGCCTCCCCTTAAGGACATAGGTGAACCAGATGGATTCTTATGACAATTGACAATGGTTTCATGGTCATCATCAGACTCTTAATTCCCAGATTTTATTGAATTCTGATCTCACCATCTGCCATATAGAACTTGGACCTTGGCCCCAGAGCATTACTTGGGTTTTCAGGATTGTTAGTCTAGTGATAGTATCACTCGGCCATCGCCTTTCCTCAGTTTAATTTTATTTCTTTCCTAGAATTGCTGTTGAGATTCTGAAAACCAGCACCAGTGTCGATGTGATGTGGCAGGATGGTACAGTAGAGAAAAATATTCGATCCAATGACTTGCTGCCAGTTCATCATGTGGACAATAATGAGTTTTGCCCTGGAGACTTTGTGCTGGATAAACGTGGTAAGTGTGAAGTATAGTTTAAGAGCTCAATCTTGCAGGTGATGGATAAATAAATGGACAAAAGCAATCACTTTTGTAGAACTTCCTCTTTAGTTGATTTTCGTCCTCATTCCAGAATTCAGAGTCATGAAAGAGTTTATAGTTGTTTTTGTCCTATTAAATTTTTCTGGTTTTGTCTCACCCAGGACATTAGATGATGGTGGATAATCGGGGAATGGACAAGTGGTACATAGAATGGTAGACAAGCCGTCGTGGTATGGGGTGTACCTGATCTTTATCTATCATTTTCGTATATTTAGATGAGATTAAAGTAAATGTAATATTGAGAAACCCTCACTTGTCCTTTCCATGTCAAAGTGATCAAATTTGATCAACCATACAATGGCTGGTGTAGGGCCACCTTCTAGATTCCAGATTTACTCCCTGATCTCTGCTGGTTTTATAAATCTAAAGCTGTGATTTGAAGTTGGTTTCTACTTGTCCTCCTGCTGGTTCTGTAGGTTTAATCAGCATTTGGATGCGGTGCCATTGCTAAGAAAACTATATTCCAGCACGTTATAACCTTCCATTAAAAACATTAGAAATGTTTGTGAAAGAAGTATTGGGGACTGAGGTGCCATCTCTCGAGATTATGAACATGGAGCTGGAATAGGCCACTTGTGACTAATTTGCCATTCAACATGCTGGAGGGTCTTGGTAAGGTAGACGTGGACAGGATGTTCCCTTTTGTGGCTGTGGCTCGCAAATTGAAAAAGGCATCAGCTTCATAAATGTGATGAGGTTAAATGTTTTCTTGGGGTTGAGTTATTTGAAGTTTCTGAAAAAGCAGTTGAAGCAGAGTTGATGAATGTTTTTAAGGCGGAGTTGGATACATTCCTTGGAAATCTTTTGTTCCTTATCAGGAATAGGTAGGAATGTGGATTTGAGGTTACGTTCAGATCAGCTGTGATCTTATTAAATGGTTGAACAGGTTTGAGGGACTGGATGGCCACCTCTTTGTATGAGCAGCTCATAAAGAGAGGGAGCTAGAGTGGGGACAGTGGCTTCTGAAACAGTGCGAGAAAGCATGAGGACAGCGGGAACTTTGGCTTCTTCAGTCTTTGTTCCCAAAGTCTCAAATCTGATTCAGTAGCAGAGGAATGCAGCGACAGTGACTTCACGGAAGTATAGAGTGTTGATTCATTCAGCAGCTTCTGTTCAGCATTGTTTCAACTTCAGTAATTTTGAAATACAGAAGTAAGAATTAAAGCTATGAGAGGGACTTGAGTTGTGGTAAGAATGAGGATTTTCCACTAATTTCTGCTTTGTAGTAAACCTTACTTTTGTAAGGTTAAAGCAAGTAAAATGAAACCAAGTTTTAAAAGGCTTAAGGTATGTTTAGGCAATTTGGTTAGCAGATTGCCTATCCTATGGCATGTAGGCAGTTGGAGTAGTGGAGTGGAGACTTCACATGACCTGGAAAATCCCATCTACAGAAAATAACACCAGCTTCGCAAGCATGGGCTATGGGTCTCACTGCTCAAACGACAGCTGGAGTTAAAGGTTCATTTACAAGGTATAGAAGAGTGGATAAAATATTGAAAGCTGGTTATACCACAGGTTAAAGAAGAGCAGGCACATAGGGGATGCGTGACTACTGGACAGTCAAGAGAAATAGGCAGGTAGTGCCAGAGGTCCTGCCACTTCTGCTATTAGTCCGGAGATAGGTGACACCATGGGTATCCTGTTGATTTGTTCATAGATTTGGCCGTTAAAGGTAAAGTGGGTCGTGAGGCATAGGTCCAGTAGTTTCAGCATGTTGTCTGTGGAGATGGTGTCACTAGGGTCTCATTCTTTCAGAAGTGTTGCTGGTGTTTCTCTTGTCAGTGGTATGTCAATCGATGTGAATAGGGCGGTGATGTCAAAGGAAACCATGTTCTCGTCCTCGTCTATTCTTGTGCCATTGAGGGAATTGAGGAGCTCCTGGGCTGTGTGGATTGAGTGGGGTCACCTATCTCCGGCCTAATAGCAGAAGCAGTGGTGCAGAGACTTGAAAGCATAGCACTTCCGCAGATCCAACCTAAAACTATGAATCCAATATGTGGACGACACTTTTGTCGTCATCAAACGGACTAAACTAGAGGAGACACATCGGCTAATAAACACTCTGACGTCAAATTCACCGGGGAAGAAGAACAAACTGCTCCCATGCCTGGATGTCGCCCTTCGGCCCAACAACTCTACACTGACCCTTGGAGCATCCCACCCAGACCCACTCCCCTATAACCCACCTAATCTACACATCCCTGAACACTATGGGCAATTTAGCATGGCCACTCCACCTTGCCTGCACATCTTTGGACTGTGGGAAGAAACCAGAGCACCCGTGAGAAACCCATGCAAACACGGGGAGAATTTGCAAATTCCACACAGGCAGTCACCTGAGGGTGGAATTGAACCTGGGTTCCTGGGGTTGTGAGGCAGCAGTGTTAACCACTGAGCCACTGTGCCGCCCCATGTTCCCATACATCAAGAACATATCCGAACTGACCACAAGACTCGTGTGACCATTAGGCATTAGAGTGGCTCACAAACCTACGTCAACCCTACGCCAACTGCTAACTCAAACCAAAAACCTCTTGCCCACTATGGACAGAACCAACGTGATATACAAGATCCCATGCAAAAACTGCAACATGACATTGGACAGACAGGAAGGAAACTGGCCACAAGAATACATGAACACCAACTAGCAACAAAAAGACATAACCAGTACTCACTCGTCTCCATTCACATGGATAAGGATAGTCACCAGTTCGATTGGGACAATATCAGGATCACAGGACAGGCCAAACAGAGACAAGCACAGGAATTTCTAGAGGCTTGGTTTACTACCAAGAAGGCCATCAATAAACACTTAGAATTAGACCCTATATATACACCACTGTGAAGCAAAACAGGAAATGAAGTAACCAATTCCAACGGACTCCAGAGTTTAAAACCCAGGTGGGAAAACCCAACAGCGCTGCTTCGGAGGCTGCACTGACGATGTTACCTAGCAGGGTAATGAAGCGTCTGTGAACTAAGAAACCAGTTTGGCGAGTGAACCAACCACAGAGACCCATACTGTTCACAGTACTCTGTTTATGGTCTCATCAGTGCCCTGTTTAACTGAAGCATAGCGTCCTAACTTTTGGATTTATTCCCCCCCTCAATAAATTACAGCCTAATTCCTAATTGCTTCTCCTAGCTACTTATTAAGGGGATAAAAATAAAGTCTCTGGCTATCCATGATTCTCACGGTCTTGTAAACTTCTACCAGGTCGCCTCTGTCTCTGTTCCAGTGCAAGCAAAGCAAGTTTGTCCAAATCTCTCCTCATGGCTAATACCTTCCCAACCAGGCAACATTCTGATAAACCTTTTCTGTACCCTCTCCAAAGCCGCCACATCTTTTTGGTAGTGTTCTGTACCAATCAGAATTGTACACAATATTCCAAATGTGGCCTAATTAAATTTCTAAAGAACTGCAACATGTCTTGCCAATTCTTATACTCTGTGCCCCAAACAATGAAGGCAAGCGTGCCAAATGCTGCCTTGGCCAGCTTGTCTACTAATGTGCAGCCCCCCCGCTCCAATCCCAACCTCACCATAAAACCCACGGACAGGGGAGGCGCAGTTGTAGTATGGCGCACTGACCTCTACATCAGAGGCCAGACGCCAGCTCTGACACCACCTCCTACCGCCCAGTTGATCATGACCCCACTCCTGACCACCAAAATATCATCTCCCAAACCACCCACAGCCTCATCACCTCAGGTGACCTCCTACCCACAGCATCCAACCTCATCATTCCCCAACCCAGCACCGCCTATTTCTATTTCCTTCCCAAAATCCACAAACCTGACTGCCTTGCTCGACCCATTTGTCTCCGCCTGCTCCTGCCCCACTGAACTTATCTCTACTTATCTCGACTCCATTTTCCCCCTTGGTCCAGGAAATCCCCACCTACATCCGTGACACCACCCACTCCCTCCACCTCCTCCAAACCTTCTGATTCCCTGGTCCCCAACACCTCATCTGAACCATGGACGTCCAGTCCCCATACACCTGCATTCCCCATGCAGATGGCCTAAAGGCCCTCCGCTTCTTCCTGTCCCGCAGGCCCGACCAGTCCCTCTCCACTGACACCCTCATCTGCTTAGCTGAACTCGTCCTCACCCTTAACAACTTCTTTCAATTCCTTCCACTTCCTACAGACAAAGAGGGTGGCCATGTGTACCCGCATGGGCCCAAGCTATGCCTGCCTCTTTGTAGGTTACGTGGAACAATCCTCCTTCCGTAGCTACACTGGCTCTAAACCCCACCTCTTCCTCCGTTACATCAATGACTATATTGGCGCCGCCTCGTGCTCCCACGAGGAGCTCCAAGAGTTCATCCACTTCAACATCTACCACCTCAACCTTAAGTTCACCTGGACCGTCTCTGATACCTCTCTCTCTCCTTCCTGGACCCCTCTGTTTCCATCTCGGGAATCCACCTGGAAACCGATATCCATTTCAAGCCCACCGACTCCCACAGCTACCGAGAATACACCTCCTCCCACCCACCCTCTGGCAAAAATGCCATCCCCTATTCCCAATTCCTTCGCCTCCGCCGCATGTGCTCCCAGGATGAGGGCATTCCACTCCCGAACATCTCAGATGTCCTCGTTTTTCAAGGACCACAACTCTTCCACCCCGCACCCGCCCCCCCGCCAACCACCACCACCAGTGGTTGAGAATGCCCTTGACTGCGTCTCCCGCATTTCCCGCAACTCATCCCTCACACCCCCTCCCCGCAAGAACAACCAAAACAGAATCCCCTTCGTCCTCACGTACCACCCCACCAACCTCCGGATCCAACGCATCATCCTCTGACACTTCTGCCATCTGCAATCCGACCCCACCACCAAAGACATTTTTCCCTCCCCACCCTTTATCTGCTTTCCGGAGGGACCACTCTCTGTGACTCCCTTGTCTGCT